GGAAATTTGGATAATGAAGTCTGTCTTTGAGTTCTCCTGAGCTGGTACTATTTATAGAGCTTTCAATGGGCTGGTGCCTTGGTCTTTTGCTTCTTGGGCTTTGCTGAAGTGGTTGAGAAAATGTTGGAAAGTGGCAGCAAAAATGGGAGAGGTCGTCCTCACGTGCTGCCTTGAGGAGAATTACTAGGAGGAGTGGTCTTCAGTGGTGGCTTGACGTAGTCTGAGTCAAAACCAAGTTTTATCCTTGTCACGGGCGTGACAAGGTCTTCACGCTCGTTATTTGATGATTTCAAGTGTCACGGTCGTGACTACTTCCTCACGGTCGTGATGGCCCAAAGTAAGGTGTCACGGTCGTGACACCCTTGTAACGACCGTGGCCGTAACAAATTATGCAGACTTTTTGCAGGCTTCTGTCTTGCTTCATTTCTTGTGGTTTCTTTCGTTCTTTTCTTCTTAATTCATGATTCGGCCTCACATAACGATGTACCTGCAAAATAGTAAGAAAAACTCGAGAAATCGAGCGTTAAAACGGTGAATGCGCGATAAAACGTCAATGAAATCTAGCGATATAATCGATGCGTTTTCTCGTCATCAGTATGATTATTGTGTTTATGTTATGAGCCTTGATGATGGTTCTTTTATTTTTTTTGTTACTGTATTTTGATTGTTGCTAATCATTTATATGGCGTAAATGAACTGAAAATCATGTTAGGAAAGGATTTTGACATGAAAGACTCAGGTCTCGCTAAGAATATTTTTTGTATGGTAATTCACAAGGATATGAGTGCTAGAAAATTATGGCTCTCTCAGAATAGGTAAGTTGAAAATGTGTTACACAAGTTTGACATGAGTCATTCGAAGGGTGTGAATACTCCATTGAATATTCACTTTAAACTCTAATTAGATCATTGTCCAAAGACATATGCAGGAGTTGATTATATATCAAATATTCCTTATCTCAATGATGATGTTTGCTTAATGTATGTTATTGTATACATTAGACTAGATTTGACACAAGTTATAAGTTAAATTTGTAAGCTTATGTCCAAATCGAATTTCCAGGCACTTGAAGGGTACAATGAGTCATAAAATTATATTTAGTAATGAACATAGTGATTTTTCAGTTGTAGGCTATGTTCATTCAGACCGTGTTGGTGATATGGATGATAGAAGGTCTAGAACAACAAATGTCTTTACTTTAGCATATGGATGTATTTGTTAGAAATCATCAGTTCAATCCTTAGAGGTCATGTTAACAACTAAAACAGAGTATACAGCGGTAGCTCAAGCTACCAAAAAGCCTTATGACTTACAAAATTGGTGAGAGAATTTGACATTGAACAAGATGGAGTTCAGTTATATTGTGATAGCTAAGTGTCGTACAAACAATCAAATGTACCATACCATGATCAAACATATTTATGTGAGGTTTCACAAGATTAGAGAGACTTATTACATGTTTTTTAGTGTTAACTAGGAGGTGTATCTCCCAATTTTCAATATGTGATTGTCATGTAGAAATTATTCGTAAGGGTTTGATATTGGCCAAAAGAATATTGTTGAGTATGGTTTAAAGGTAATTATAAATTGAATTGTAGAATTAATATATACGCGACAAATTAGCAACTATTTATATGACAAACTAGGATTATAATGTTAATATATATATATATATATATATATATATATATATATATATATATATATATATATATATATATATATATATATATATATATATATATATATATATAACCCTAATTTATCATATAAATAAAATAAAATTGTAGTTAATTTATAATTGTAGAGAGAAGCATTGTTGATCGAACTGTCTTAGGGAAGATCAATCTAATTCATTTTAGTGTATTTTTATTTTTCTAATCTTCTATACTGGTTGTTCAATCAATTACTAATCCATCAAGTAATTTATTTAATTTTATAAAAAGATTCTAAATTTATTAAAGAGTGCAAAAAAATATTCCAACTCATTTATAATATTAAGGTAAAAAAAACAATTAATTTATTACCGCAATTAACTTTGTTAAAAATAAAACCTTAACGTCAAAACAAAGCTAAAGTTATTTTAGAAATAGGCTATTCAATTTTTGAATCGATATATCAAAACCATTTGTTTATAGAAGATTCAATTGAAGTTAAAGCAAACTTTTGTTTGGATAGATTCAACACTTGTGAAATTTAAACATAAACATATTTATATAATTTGAAAATCGAGGTCAATGATAATTTATATATAATACTCACACTTGTCATTTCTGAAAGATAAATATGTGATTGGTTTATACATATTCGTAAATATGGTATTGTAACTTAAAGTCGGATAGAACATTGACATGTGAGGTAGGGATCGGGCCCACGACCATGCTCGAAGTTCAATTTCTTACCCTCAACAAAAAAAACATTTGATTCGGGCCTTTTAACCTTTTAATTTCGACTAATTATTATTAAGAGTTTTACCATAGACAATATATAACATAAATATTTGTTTATAAATTAGAATAATTCTAACTCTATCGACTGATTTTATAAGATTGAGTTAGACTTTATCACATTTCTTAACCAATGCTATCAGAGTTTAGTTTTCTAGAAATATATTAATGCTATCTTATAGTTATAATTTTGGATCTAACATTGTTACCATTTGATATTCGTTTCAGCGGTGTCAACGCCTAAAGCTACAAACTACACATACCTATGTGAAAAGAACGTGAAAAACAGAAAAATTAAATCACTGTTTTGCTTTTGTTGCTTGTACTTAGGGTTAGCATAACCACTGTTTAAAGACAATGACAGTGCATCATCATAAATTGAATATGTGGCCCATAAAAAAGAACATGGCCTTGTGTTTGTGGTTAACAATATAAGTGCGCACATGCATTTCTGTTGAGTGTGACAAATCAAAAGGTACTGCTCTATAAAAGTTACGTACATTCTTTTCTTGCATAATTTTCACACTTCATTTTAGTTTTGTTTTAACTAATGGTGAAATAGAAAATTAACTTTATCCCGTTTGCAAAATTATGTAGAAAATAGAACGTAACGAAACAGACAAATTAGAGGTTGCAGGATTAAAACCTTTATCCACCCCCACAAATATGTGAAGGCGAAACAAACATGTCCAGACAGACATGACTCATTTTACCACCCCTACGCGTATGAGGACTAACATGTTTATTAGAAAAACTCTTAAGTCTCGTATCGAACAATATATGACATAAACATGTCTTTATAAATAGAAACAATATGCACCCTTTAAATCAATTTTGTAAGAATAAGTTAAATCAAACTCTAATATAATATTAGGGTTTATCTATTAGACCATAGACCGCACACCCTAATTTCCACATCAGATAGTTTAATATATAATCTAGTCTTTAACGGGAGATAATCTCCACCTACAAGTCGATTTTATAAGAATGAATTAAACTATACTCTAATAATAATAATGTTGTAATTAATGTACCAATCACAATGCACAAGTTCGAATATGCAACATTCATTTATTTATTTACTTTTAATGAGTAAAATCATATCTATTAAGCTACTAGATTTAAAAGAAATTAAAAAAATTCTTATTAAATGTCATTGTTAAACTAGTTTACACGAAACTGTAAGGTCCTCTATACTGAAAAAGAGTATGTGTTACTTGTCTACTAGTGCATGTTAAGTTTCAGCAATCTTTTTGTTATCTTTCACATCATTGCCTTGATTAGCATATCATAACATGAGAGAATAATGCAGAGATGAGTGAGTCCTAACAAAATAGTCCTGAAAGAAGTGTGTCCTTCAATAGTGCCCACAATTAAGACTCTCTTTTGATTTTATGTTATTTTACTTTACCAGAAAATAAGTTACTAGGTTTAGTCTATCATCTAACTTAATCAATGTGGCCCTTTATATATCTATCATCTTTCCTTCTCTCAAGTGTGTCCCCAAGTGTTCCCATGTGAAGGGACATGCATATGCACATGCATAGACTTGCTGAAATTCCATTCTTTCTTTGTAAGTAGTTCGATTCATTTATATCAACATGATCTCTAAAATTTAATAGCAGACAGTGAGAAACAGGAAACAACCCCAAGCTGGATACAATACAAGATCCTGCAGACAGCATGCATACAGTTGGGATTTCACATTGTCGTCATAATTGGTCTAACTTGCCCGGTGAAAATCAAGTGAAACAGTTCACACTGATTTTAAAGAATCAGAAAGTCAAAATCTTAGTTGTTCAATCTTGATCAACAACATAGATTATTGACTGCCGAGAAAGCCATAAATTCATTCATACAATACAAGTCATACAGACTTTGGTATGATGACAACAAAAAGTTGAAAGAGTAATGTCCACAATTTCATATGGTTACCACAAAGCTATTTTTCTATTTGATTCTTTTAGAGTATGTTTAGTTTAACCAGTACTTACAAATTGATTATGAATATATATAATTGATTTTGGCATCTTTGATTGCTCTCGAGTGGAATCAATTCTGTTTTTCAAAATTGATTTTGCTTAAAGTTAGAATTTGTACTAAAATTTACCGTTCAATTTATTTTTACAAGAATTTATCTAAACATAAATCACTTTATCTTCGATCATTTTTAGCTAAAATCAATTTTACATAATCAATTATTTTTCACCGCAGAACCAAACACAAGTTTAATCTTGGAAGAAATAGCCTTGATAAAAAATGCTTTAACATCTTCATTTTGTGTAAGGTAATGTTCCATGAAAATAAAACACTTTAAAAATGAAAAAAGAAATAGTTAAGGAACATAATGAAGAAGAAAGAGAATATATAATAATTATATATGCAACTCCAAAGCTTGCAAATTAAATTTCATTATTAAAATGACTAATATTATCAATGATGTCATGATGATGTACTTTCCAACTGAACAGCAACTCAATAATATTATCGATCTTCTTCCATATTGTTAAAGCCGTTCTCCTTTCATTGGGTTAAAACTAAAACTAAAACTTCCTAACCATAATAATGCTGACCTGAAGGTGAAGCACCACCAGGTCTCACATTTGGCGGAGCCCCAGGCCGAACCATGAAAGGCGAACCAGGACTGGAAGTTAAACCACCACTAGGCTGTGCATTTACATTGTGTGGAGCCCCGGGATGGCTGCTTTGAGCATGAGGTGAAGAAGCGGAAGGCATAGCTGCGGACATATAGGCAGGCATAGTAGGATAAGGAGCAGTTTGAACAGGATAAGCACCGGGAACAGATAAATAACCCGGTCTAACTGCATGCTGAGTTAGATCCCATGACGGCCCTTGTCCTCCAGGCACTTGAGTTTGAAAACCAGGAGAACTGGTATGGTACATGGGGGCAGCCTGAGGATTATGCCATACTGTTGGTGGACCTTGTGCCGCAAGCATACTAGGATGTGGCACTGTATAGTCTCTACTTTTGTCACTGAAAGCCTGAAAATAAATTATACAACGCTATAATTAGACTCGCATAAACAAATTACCGTAAAAGGTAAATTAAGTGTCAAGAACCATACATTAATTTATCAAATCTGTTTCCGATCAAGAAAGTGTCCACATTGCTTCTAAGGATATCTCTTAATTTTTTTCCCTTCATTAACATTAACTCAAAAACACATTTTTATACCTTTACATTGAGATCAGTATGACGAGAGTATGATAGATGAAGCTTACAATAGCCACCATCATAAATGCAATGCCCCTCTAAAGCTTCTCTAGCAGCTGCTGCTGCTGTAACGTCTGCGAGAATATATATAACATATGATCAACAACAAAACAAATGCTTCGTCCAGAAATAGAGTAACTGGAAAGTATACCACAAAAAAATGGACCCTAATACAAGACTAATCCATAAAAAGGCCTGAATAGAAAACGAAATCGATTAAAAATCCAATTGATTCTCCTCAAATAACATAAAGAAAATCGAAGACTAGAAAGAGACTCGAGAAATGATCCAAAGGTGACCCAGTTTCTTTTACATACCATTAATAGACATGCATCTAAAATAAAATATAGTCCTCTAATAAAAATACAATTTATATCATAGAGAAGCACCATAATTATTTCTATCCATTAGCCAGAAAACATCCACATTCAACATCGAAGCAGAAGGAAAGCATTTGGTCAATGAAATAGCCAACAAAAGAAGAAAAGAACTATGGAATAGAACTGATATGAAATGGTCTAAACAACTGAAAACAGACCATAGTTATCAACCCTTCAATATAAACACTATTACAAGAACACTATAACCCTCTCTGTTAAGCAAACAAAGACAAGAAAACTACGGAAAGAGTAGGCATATATACATTGGAAATTGTATTAAATATTAATAAAACTGGAACATAGAGCACAAACTCAAGAACTAAAAGACAAATAGGATTGATACCAGGGTACTGAACTAGTGCCTGAGTTTGACCATTCTTTTCGAACATAGCAATTTTCTGGACAGTACCAAATGCAGAGAACACCTGGCAAAGATACACCATCATTGCAGAGTATAATTCACACGCAAATTAGGATTTTTACTGAAATCTATAAATTCTCACCGTGTTGATTACTTCAACAGTAACAGCATACTGCATATTTTCAATGGAAGCCAAAAGTACATTGCTCTCTGGTTCTATCCTCTTCCCATCAGGACCTATAGTAGGCTGAAAATTACAAATACTCAGCACATACTAAAATAGAAAAAGATAAAAGTTACTGAAGAATAGAACAACAAAACACCTGCACTGCCCCCTCAATAGCACTATGGTTAACAGGAAGCATAGGATTTGTATAGTCCCTGAAAAGTCATGAAAAAATTCAGTATTGTTGACAGTTATGCGCTAACATCTAAAAGGGGAAAATAGAAATATAGCCATGCACATAAAATAACAGACATCATCACAGAGCCAAAGCTTCAAAATAATATGATTAAATTTGTTGATATTTAAATAATAATAATAATAATAGAGGAATATTTTGTAAATATACTCTGTATTCTAAAATCCTCTTAGCATAGCATACTCCTTTGAAATTATGCTCGTTATTGTATTAATGGCTATTTAATAGATGTTACGGGGTGCATTCTAAACACACATTTTCCCCATATGTCTCTCAATTCTCTCTTTCAGTATGGTATCAAGAACCAACCCTACATTGTGCTTACTTGGTGGACCAACTGAGAAATTATTTTCGGCAAACCGTGTTTCAACTCCGGTTTTCCCCTCATTCACTGTCATGACTCGTTCCGATACTTTGATTTCGTTAGGATAGACCATTGGTGTCGCCTCTGATTCTAGAGGGTCACCCCACCAATAAAAGAGCATCTTCTGATTTATCCCGTCCCCAAAACCTCGCCGCCAGCAACCCTTTAAAGAGCCCTTTGCGCATCTCCAATCACTGATATGAGAGAACGATGTCGTGGCCACCAGTGTAGTCAAGAATGATGTCGTGTTTCAACTCCGGTTTGCCCCTCATTCACTGTCATGACTCGCTCAGGTACTTTGATTTCGTTAGTTTCTGCCATTGGCGTTGCCTCTGGTTCTAGAGGGTCACCCCACCAGTAAAAGAGCATCTTCTGTTCCATCCCGTCCCCAAAACCTCGCCGCCAGCAACCCTTTAAAGAGCCCTTACCCGCTTCTCCAATCACTGATGTGAGAGAACGATGTTGTGGCCACCAATGTAGTCAAGATCGAGTGTTGGATCGTACCATCTTACGTGCTAAGGATGCCGAAGAGAAAGACCGTTTTCAGCGCCGGTGTGATCAAGACCCACCTTTTTGAAGCAAGATCGTAAAAAAAAACATGTTGGGCGGTAGGATTTTACGTGTTATGCTAACGATACGGGTTTTACAATCTTTCACAAGCTGGCCAATCCTACTTAAGATCTCATGCTTGACTACATTGGCCACCACCACCGCATGTGGCGATTCAACCAGCCTCGAATCAAGCTTTGGTTGGTCTCACCTTCCTGTGCCGGTTCCATGCCTTTCCTTATCTCAGTTTTGATCTACGAAAATACGTGTTCCTGTTCAAACACTACTATTTTCATCCGTCTCCGCGTTTTTGTTCTCTATGCACCTGATTGTCTATTTAATTTGCTTTCAGTTGTTTAACTTGTTCTCATTAGTGTACTGTTACTCTCATGATGGTAATGTTACCTTCGCAGGATCGGAGTTCAAAACAAGCGATTGGTGTCGGATGTGAGTCACAAGGCTTTTACTAACTCTCTCTATCATCCAAGACATGCTCAATCAAAAATTCCCCACTCACTATCCATGCTCAGTTGGATCACCTGAGTCTTCCCAAACATCAGAAGTTGGTAGCGGGTTTATCTAAGTTGTCTAGTTTACATTGTGAGTTTTGTCAATTAGAAAAATACACTTGTATTAATTTTTTCGATTGAATCAATAAACAAGCTTCGTCCTTTTTGCTTTCCTTTTTGCTTTAGCGTATGTGTATGTATTGGTTGGGGTACATTTCGTACTATGTTTACTTTTGAGTTTAAGTATTTTGTTACTTTCTTGATGACTTTTCCCGTTATCCGTGGTTATTTCTAATAAAGAATAGATATGAGTTATTCTCTAACTTCGAGCTATTTTATCAAGAAACTATCTATTGTTTCTTTAAGAAATGATAATCCTCGCGAATATTTGTCCCAACAATTTCAAAACTTTATGGCTTCTAATAGTATTTTTCATCAAACATCATGTCCTCATACACCTCAACAAAATGATGTAGTCGAACGCAAAAACAACATCTCCTTGAAACCAATTGGACCATAGTTCTCCATAGTAAGGTTCTATTATGATTTTGGAAGGATGTTGTCCCAACGGTAATATCCCTCATTCAATCCATTTTTCCCTTTCCCCCGCATCATCCAATTCCTCCACGTGTCTTCGGGCCCACGTGTTTTGTTTAGCAATCATTTTTCATTAAGACGGCATCTCACCAAAATTAGCATGGAACATTACCATGGAAAAAGAGTCTGAGTAGTTTCAATGAGAAGTCAATATTTTGCATTTGGCTATCCCATTTTGTTGAGGTGTACGAGAGTTTGAAATTGATTGAACAAATATCCACGAGCAATACCACTTCATATAGTACAAATAAACACACCAAATTGAGTTTTATTTTCTTAATAAAATTACTCAGATAGAAAATAACTCAGATGTGTTGTTCATTAGAAACAACCACGTACAAATGGAAAATTCACAGTAGACGTAGTTTAAGATGGACCTCAAACATCAAAGTGCACTAAAGCAAAAGGGGTTGAAGTCTGTTTATTGACTCGATCAGAAAATGACTACAAATGTGTTTTCCTAAATAACATGACTCACGACGCAAACTACTCAACTTAGATAAACTTGTCACCAACTTTTGAAGTTTGGGATGGTTTGGATGACACAACTAAGCATGGATAGTAAATGGAGAACTGTGGTTGGCCATGTTTTGGATGTCAAGACATGTAGTAAAAATGACCTTGAAACTCACATCCAAGATGGTCCTTGTATTCTTGACTTTCAACCCATAGGTTGATGTCGCTACCCCAACTATCATAATTTGACCTATTATATTTCCCAATTGAAAGGGGGAGGTGATGTGATTGATAAAAATGCTCTTGAATACATCAAAAGTACCACCAGCAGCCATGTGTATCACACGTGAAAGAAACAAGCAGACAGATGAAAATACGGATTGTTTGAATAGGAACATGTACTTATGTCGATCGAAATTGAAAAATGAGGAAAGTTGTGGAACCTCACATAGGACACGAATCAGAGGAGATAAACAGCAGCTAGAGCGGTAGCCTGACGTGCCATCACATATGGCGACAGGCTGTGGCGCGTGAGGAGCATTTCCAGGGAAGGGAATGGGGGATTGAGCGCACGTGCTAGGGAGGCTATGGAGGATGTGCGAGGAACAGGCCAGACCAGGCAAGGCGATTCAAATGCTTTTGGTTGCCAAAAAAGTCGTCAGAATATGTGGCAGAGGCAGCTGCCATTATGAAATCTGACAAAAAAGAGAGCTATATGAATCACGACAAGGAAGGAGAGGCAAACCAGAGTTTAAAACACAGTTCACCTGAAAAAAATACTCACCAAAGGATAGGGGTCCATCGGGCAATCGCGGTGTAACATTTTCTTTCAATTGGCTCCAGATGCCATATTGAAAGAAAGAAAAAACGAGAGAAAAACGAGAGACATGGTGAAACCGTGTGTGTTTAAACTGCACCATGGAAGTTCTATTATACAGCCAATAATATAACAGAGCACTTTACAAAGGAATGTGCCAAGGAATAATCTACAGAATGCACCATGGAAGTTCTATAATATAGCCAATAATATAATAAGGAGCATTTTACAAAGGAACATGCTAAGGAATAATCTACAGAATGCACCATGAAAGTTCTATTATATAGCCAATAATATAATAAAGAGCATTTTACAAAGGAACATGCTAAGGAATAATCTTCAGAAGAGCATACAATATGTTTAGCTAAGAGAATTCTAGAATACGCTAGAGTATATTTACATATTATTCCTATATTATATCAACATAACTAAAATGGTTGACAAGCAACATAATTGATAAATCATAAGAGTGAATAGACAATTGTGCTAAGTCTATGTAATTTTCAAAAATAATGATAGAAAGAGATGCTAGTTCACAATACAAACTTATTCATACAATTATGGTTCACAAAGAATTTTTTGAGTTTATCATCACTACATCAAATCATTTTAACACAATGTCATCCTATCAGCAAGTAAAATGAAGAAAAAATTTACAATGAAATATTCTAGAAATAACAAGCCTTCAAGTGTAGAAGCTCCATACAAAAGAAAGAAAAAAGAACACGTAAGATATTTTTCATATAAAAGATGTACATATTCAAGGAATCAATCAAGACTTCAGGTTTGGAAACTCCAAATTAAAGAAGAAAAATCCAATAAGATACTTTTCATGAAAAAGATTGTTTTAAAAAGTAATACCTAATCATGAAAAGACCATTTTTTCAACTGAAGAACTCAATTAGCAAAACTATAAACTGTTTCTACAACGATAATTTGGTCTAAAGTAAACACGAATATAGGTGTAGTTATTCATCGCCAGTATCAGACTTGTTTCCAACGACGAAGATGGAGGCCATATTACATCGATAACAACTACAGATAATTAGTATTGAATCCCAATATAATTTCAAAGAAAACATTAAAATGAATAAAGCTAGTTCAATGCATGACAGAAAATGCATCAAACAGCTGGAAAATTATCAAGGAATTTACGAAAACGGTCATGGAAACTCAACCACGTTCTGACTACCAAGCTTTAGTAACCTCTAAACTATAAAACCATGTATATCAATTGGCATATAAGAGAACCTTAAGAAAATTTACATGCAGACACGATCGAAGAATAAATAACGATAGTTGTCTTGCCTGCTTCCATCATTACCTGCTGCGATTTGATTGAAATTTGATATTCAGATCTTTATGTGCCGAGTATGAAATACGCAAATTACAAGAACCAACGTGATCTGGAAGCAGGTATCTGGATGCAAAAGAACAAGTAAATCAGCAAATTTTATGACTATCGAGCTATGAAGAGAATTAAAAACAGGGTAAGAGAAGTAAGCGGGAAATACAAAAATTATTTTGCCTTGGTATGCTTCTTCCATCCAGTGCATCCCTAGCTGAAGCAGCAGTCTCAGCATCAGTGAACTGAATCAGAGCCTGTCATGGCATAAAACATAGTTCATACACCCAGTGATTCAGGGACATTGAAGGAAGCGCAACTAACAATAATCCACTAACCTGGAAACCTGCTGTCTTTTCAAATGTAGCAATTTTGTGAACAAAGCCAAAAGCAGAAAACACCTGAACAAAAAATTTAAAAAACTAGTTATAATGTCAGATAGCTTCACCCCAAATAAAAAGGTCAGAAGATAATAGGACGTCACATGATCGGGAACAATCACAAATGTAAAGATCACAAGGTAATGTCAAGGAAAAGGAAGGTTCAAACAGATGAGAAATAAGTGCAGAATAACACCTGTAGTCATATGTGTGACCTTAGAATGGAGTACGACGCACATGATAATAATTCCAAACTGTCTCCAACAAAAGTATCTAAATATGAGAGAACACCATCTGTGATTCAACGGATTTCAGTAAAAAGTGGCATGTGATTTAATCAGGTTTTTCTCTAAATTTAAATAAAAGGGTAAAAAGATAAAAGTTCACATGATTAAATGAAATGAAATGGATTGATATGAATAGAGTATTAAAAGGAAGGGTCCAAGAAAGTCACTCAAAAGATAACCCTTGCTGGCTACGCCCAGTAGGGAAGAGAAAAAAAAATGTAACATGAATGAGAGATCTTTGCATGAGAGTTCAAGCTTCCCAGGAAAACAACAGACAAAACCAAATATTAAGCATAATGATAGAAACTGATACTTTACTACAAGATTTTGTTTGCTTTACTACTAAATTAAGCAAATATTAAGTTCATATCATTCCCTTCAAATCCCGTGTCTTCCTATTGTTGTCTTATTTGATACATTTTATGGGGTTTTGTTGAAAGCTTGGAGTTAGAACATTGTGTAAAATTATTTACAATTACAATATACTTGTAATGATATGTCATGATGTCCCAGGTCCAATTTTCACAAATTGTTGTATCCCACTCCATTACTGATACTTGCAAAACCTAATAGAAAGTTGAAGATGGTCTCACTCCAATGGAGAGTGCTATTAACACAAAAATAAAAAGTTCAAAACAGAAACTAATTGTGAATAAGTTGCTGCCTAGTGATGTTACAGCACACTTGAAAATAAACCGCGCCTTTACAAATCCTAGTCTGCAAGACTGAAAAAATCCAAACTTTCTTAACTAAACAATAAAATGCTAAGAGAGTCCAGAAAAAGAGATATTTCTGGAAGCCATTTATACGCATAATCATATATCGTTATTTCAATGTTAAATTCTTAGATTGGGCGCTTTGACTACATTCCCTTTAAGATCTACCTCAGTATTATTGGGATCATGACATTTTTATGGCATGCTTTTCAATATTCACTTCACAAATAAGCCTCAATGGTTAAAAGATCTTCAAAAATATGCAGATCAAAAAATCAAAGCAGTACAAAGTGCTTCTACCTAAACAAGCCCAGTGAGCTTACAAATCACAAACCCAAAAGAGAACCAAATCTGTAAGCACTTACCAAGTGGATAACATCAATGCTCACATCCCCGGCTTCCACGCCTTCAATAGTTACCAACAAGACATTTCCAGGAATATCTCCAGGGCTTTTATTGTTGACAATTTCGTGTCTATTGGAATACTGTATATAAACAGTTTTACCACGAACATGAGCGGGCTCTGAAGATGAAGCATAATATGAAACCATTGAAATTGCTTGATTTTGATCCACCTGGTAAACCACATATACTTGAAATTTCAGCTAACGGACATGGAAAATCAGGGAAATTTGATATGAAAACAAATTCAATATCTCATGGAAGCCCCACTAATGTTGATGCCCTAACTCAGTAGAACACAATAACAAACAACATTCTCATAGCCTAAGAAGATGGATGCAAACTATATAACACTAATGTAATCCCGGTGTCTTAGAGATATGTATTGCTGTCAGACACCAATACAACATTGACACATGTGATCAAATTCAATCGCTTACATTTTCTCAATTATTAACGGCACCTATGTGTCAATGTCATAGTCATATACTTTATTGGATGCAAGTATGCCATAAAAATACGACTGAATTGATCTCAATTTTTCTCTAGTCTAGCCTTGGATCAGATCATGATATTTGTGATTAAAACCGTAATTTAGAGATGCTCTTGGTCAAAGAATAGAAACTACTAGTAACAAGCAACCTTCCAATAGCCTAAGGAGATTGATACGAACTTTATAGCCTTAAAATTTCATATTGAGGGCACATTTGGTGTCCGAGAGACACGTGCCTCAGCCAAACACCACATAACACAACACATGTAATTGCGAGAGTAATTGGTTTTGCGGTGACACAAATTGATTTTAAATGAATTGGTTATGGCTAAGTGAGTTGAAAGTAAAATAAATTACGTTTGAATACATTATAGTAAAAGTGAGTTGAACAATAAATTTGAGTCTAAACGTCAATACTAGAATCAAAAGCACCAAATCTAGCTTTCTTAAGGAAAAATCAATTTTATTTCACAACAACCAAACATGTCAAAATCAATTCTACACCTCACATTCCTCCAAAATTAGACCAAACATATACTACCTTCAATCACTTACAACAACAACAATCATAATGTTGCTCATCAATGTTCTATCAAATACCATAGTCATGAAGTTCTGTCAAATACCATACTTCTATCCATCCAGGTCATCAATCACATCCATTTCTGTCAAACTAAGACCATGATCTGCATGTGAGTTTTGATCCATGTGGATTCATAGGATGCAAATTGAGCTAAAATTTTCTCTAGTCTAGGATCAGATCAAGAAATGCATGATTAAAAGCCCTAATAAATTTCCAAATCCAAAATAGATTAAAAATAATAACAAAGAGTGAGATAAAGAGGTTAATTACGAATTCAACAAAGGCCTGATTGCGATTCGCACCGACATTACATTTGGTGTTGACGATCCTACCGAAGGGACTACAAAGTTCAACGAGTTCTTCTTCTGAACACTCCCATGGAAGGTTGCGAAGGTGAAGAACCTTGGAAGGGGTTTGAGTGTATCGGAACTGATGCTGCGTTGATGTTGACATGGTTTATCGGTTCTCCGATTCCGATTCCGATGATGAATCGTGATGAGCAAAAGAGTAGATTGCTGAAGATTGTAAAGAGGTGTTCGCTGTCGTCTACTGCTAGACTAGGATAGATCCATCGTGATAACATGTTAAAAAAACCCAAATAAAATTTGTCGTGAAAAAATAATAAAAATTGCCTTGGAATAATAATAAAAAATTATAAAATTACGATTTCAAAATAATTTTTTATTTAATTTTTAACTAAATTTTTATCATAATATCAATAATATAAGAAAATTTGATGTTCGAAAAAAGTCTATAATATTCTTGTCCGATTTTGTGCCACCACATCAAAATTGAGTTAAATTGTGTCCAATTTTTTCAAAGGGTAATGCTAACTTATGATCTTGGGGGCACATGTTAAAAAACTCACAAATAGAAAATATGTATGAAAAAAAACAATAAAGTCATTAATTATAAGGTTGTATTAAATTTATTACACAATTTCTAAGAATTATTTCTTATATTTATCTCTTAGTTTGTGCCCCAAGGGCATATTAGCATTACCCTTTTTCAAAAGGTAACTTGCTGACTCATCAAATTACAAATTTGGCTTTTAATTTGTTATTTTACTCTACTTCTATATTTGTTAGTTGACATCCAACCAAAATTCTAGCACTAAGTTTAAATTTGAACTACATGTCACTTCTAATGTGAACCAAATCTATCAAACTTTTTTTCAAAATCTTGCTTTCCGTAATTTTCTTCCCTTTCTTCTAACTCTTCAGTGTCTTCTTTCTACTTACCATTTTTATCCTTTTCACTTTGTTTTCTTTCTTCTCTTTCCTTTCTTCCTTCTCTTCTCTTTCTCCTCTTTCTTCTATAGTGTTTATATTCTCTCTTCTATTTTCTTTATCTTTTGTTTTCTCTTGTTTCTATATTCGACTTCTTCTTCTCCCTTTTTTCAAACTCTTTCACTATTCATCCATTTTCGATAACAAGCTTATGCATCATCTTCCACCATTTTGATGTCTTCACAGTAATTTGATTAACTATTTATGACCTATTTTTTTTCTAATTAGGGTTCACTAATAGGATTATTTACTCCATTTGTATTAGGGTTTTTATATGGTTGTAAACTCTTTCATACTTAGAGTTTATTTTATGCTTGTATGTTATGGGTTCTGACAGTATTTTTAGGTTTGTGTTGATGAAGGTTTGAAGATATTCAAGAATATATGGGTTTCTTTCAAATCTCTTGCTTATTCTAACGGTATTCAATGTTAACTTTATTTTGAATCTCTAACTCTAATTAAAATAATAATAAAGTTTGTCTCATCTTCCTTTTTCTCGTCTCTTTACTGTGTTGCTCATCTGTTTTCCATTCATTTCGATTTTCATGTTGTTCTGTTTTCAATTTTCAGGTTTTTATGGTTTGCTGTGAAATTATTTGTCACAATGTTAACTATTTTGTATTTTTGCAGCTTCTTAATTCATAGTATTGAACTTTTTCTCTTTTTATAGATTATTTCTACGTTGAAAAAGCTCTTTGAGGATGGAGGTGTTAAGCATAAAGAGTTATGGATCATCTCAAAACTGTGGTATGGTTTTATTAATTTATATTTGTGAATATTTTATGTGTTTTTATAGATGATAGGAAAAATGTTTGTTTTAGGTTATGTGTTTTTAAAATATTTTATGTGTTTTAAAATGAATTATTTGCTTTATTTACTATTTTCAAGTATTCAGATCATCATCCAAAAGATGTGCTAAAATCATTGGCCAAAACCTAGTTATGAATGGTTCATTATATTATTTTATGAATTTGGTTTTATTTTATTTTGTAAATCTACCATCTTTTTCTGCATTCTTCATCTTCCTTTGAATCTACCATTTTCATATTCCTCTTCCCTGTTTTTGCTTCATCTCTCTCTTTCTTCTTCCAACTTCTTTCTTAAAAATAAACCTCACTCTCATATCTCTTGCAAACAAAAATTAAAAAAAACATGGTTCAATGTAAAATCACGAAAGAGAAAGAGGTAACAATCAAAATAGGGAAGACGACAACGACTATGACGTTTCCGACGATCTCTTGACGATATGCAGTATCGCAATGGTAGATTTGTGGTGGGGCAACGTATTTTCGGCGGCGAGTTTGGTGTTTCCGAAGATTTTACAGCGGTGTGCGGTTGCACAGTGATAGACCTATGGTGAGGGCAACGCATTTCCGCAGGCGAGTTTGGTGATGGTCAAATTCAAAATGGTTGTTAGGCATGCATATCATTGTAGAAATAAATAAAAAATACTATTGATAATTGCATTTTTGTTTGTATAATTAACAAATTTTTCTTTTGGTTTTGTTAAGGATTTTGAATTTATGGAGATAGATGAAGTTCTTAAATATTATCATGAAGGAACACATGGAGTTTACTGAATTGTTGATTAGGCACTAGGTAATAAATATTGGAACAAGTTGAACGAAATCATCGATGCTTCTTCTCTCTCATTGAATATTTTGGTTTGTCTATTTCTAATTACCTTAACACCTTGCTTGTGTTTACTTTACTTACTGCTAACTTGTGTGATTAATTTTCTCTTGACTTTGATTTTCTATGACATTTTTGCGTTTCTACGACAGTGTCCTAAATCAAATTATTTTGTTCATGTTTTGTTTGTGTTTCTGGATAACAGGGATACTGAGAGTGAAACCACTGCAACTTTCAAGGGCCTTGACAGTACCCGAAGGTCATAATGTTACATCTGAATCTATAATTTATAATCTATAACTATATATAAAGGGGGATACAAGTTTTTGGTGTGGCCTATTTTTGTTTCAAAATTACCCTTCATTATTTTTATAAATAACTTTTGTTGGTAACTTTGGTTGGTTACCAATTAAAAAACTAACTTCTCTCTCTCACAAAAAAACTTCACATTTATAACTTCCATTAATTGTTTTGTTTTAACACTAAGTTTATCTCCATTGTTAAAAATCATCTTCTATTTCTATCTCCATTGTTAATACTAGGTTTATCCATACAATCAAACATCAAATCCATATCAGGAACCAACCCAGGGTACTTCCTCAAAACTACAACAAACTCCAAACACTACACATAGTCCTATTTTCTTTCCTATTTTACCCTTTATGTATTAAAATTATTATTTTCAAAGATAAATTATAATAACTGAAAGACGGTTACATCATTTTTAAATCAAAAAGCTATGTTGTGACCGTTTTCATATTTAAAAAACAAAATATAAGGTAATTGAATAACTTTCCTCGTTTAAAATTTTTTGCTTCATTTTTATCCGTCACTTTTCCTTCTCATATGACAGCAACCTTTGAGGAAAAGACTTTACCAACAAAACTTGCATGTACAATAGAATTTCAAGCAACAAATTTGAAAGAAAAAAAAGGTAATATCCATCGTATCTAGGAAAATTGAGATCTATCTCAATCTAAAATATATCACTATTTTATACTTAAAATTTGTCATTTAACCAATTATGTTACTATTTATCATTTAAATGTTGGGATAATTCAATCATATAAATGTTTGAAGAAATTATATTACACAAAAATGTTTAATTTTACATCCTAATTTGATACAATTTTGTTTTATTTATGTTTTTTGTTGTGTAAAATTTTTTTGATTCTTTATGTTTGACTATGGAATAATTTATCTCAAATTTACAATTATATTGTTATTATAGATTTCATGCATGCTTGATTCGTATAGTTTCAATTTTTGTTGTTCATCACTTATTTCATATGGTTAAGAATAATTTGTGTTCAAATGAATTATTTAGAACATTGTTTTTTTGTTATTTTACTCTATTTTTAAAATAATTTGTATTCATTATTTTGGTGGGAATAATGTTTGGTTAAACTTATAATCTCTCAGGCCGAACTCTAGATTACTAGAATCTCTAGTCATCTCTAAATGACAATTCTTCTCTCTTTTCATATCTTTTTCAATCATCTTTTTTTCTTTTTCAAGTTATCATTTTCAATTGCATATACTTATTTTTTATTTATTTTAATTTTGATTATAATTAGTGATATTTTGTCGTGGTAAATTTTTTTTTTCTAATATTTCTTTTTTGATGTTTGATTATAATTGAATTAGTTGTCTTTTAAATTTACATATTTTGTTGTTATATTTTTCAAAGTGTTGATCTGTATTATAAATGGGAAGATTTTTTTTCAATGGAATAGGTATACACGATTATATACAATTACAATTACAACATTAAATAACTACTGTATCGATTTGCTTTAGTAACTTTCCACTCATTCAACTTATATATACAAAACTAGCGTTCAGACGGGCACTCTCGTACCCGTCTTTCCGCTTTTTTTTAATGCGCACAGTATAGGAAAATAAACGTGTATATATTTTGTATGAAATATTTATCATACTTACGATTAATTAAAAATAATATTTTTAAATACCCTTAAGTAGTCTTAAAATCAGGATGATAAATGTATATATACTAAAAATACTTTAGTGAATTAACTATATATTAATGCTACTATTATTTTAAACATACCGAATTAAATAAAATTTAGATAAAAAAATATGTAGTCTAAACATGCTAATAATATTATTACATTTTGAAAATGATAAACAAAGTTATTCTAAATATATTAAATAACCGAATAATACAAAGTACTATTTATACTGTATAATCAATAACGTTCTTTAATAGGAAGGCCGAACATTAAATCTTTATTCTAATAAGTTTCTTTTTTCTGCCATTGTTTTGCGTATTAAATAAAAAATATAAGAGTCTCATATTAGAATTTTTTTAGAGAAAATAATAGTGAAATTAATAGTAATTAGTGTAATATAGTAAATTTTTTTTATATGTTAAAGATTTGAATTAATTATTCATACATCCTTTTATCAATGTGCTATTAAGCTTTAAAAAACTACAAATACATCCTGAAATATCTCTCTATAAAATACTTTTTTTCTATTTTAAATGAAATATTTAATATCTTTTTAATC